CTGGAGGACAAACACGTCATTTTATTGGGTTTTAGATCTGTCTCCTCATTGTTTTACCCGGTGTCTGTGTTCTGCTGCTGTTCCCATCCCAAGTGTACCTGGTCACAGAGTCCTCCCTGGAAATCCTGGTGTTCCCGGGTTCCTCCCGTGTCTCCTTTTGTTTTGTGTTCCCAGGTGTTGCTGTTTCTGATTTCACCATGTGCCTCTTGTTATCGTCCCTCCTCTTCTTTTCTGTAGGCTTTTCCCACATGCCTTTTTTCTGAGAACACATCTGTATGCAAGGTGCAGGCACACGGGAGATTTATGGTGCTTCGTAACTTTGCCCAGCTCGTCCTGCACATTTTTCCTCATAATTTCTGTTCGCTTTTCTGGTCACCGCAGCAAGGACAGAGCTGAGAGATGGAAAACTAAATGTGATCTGGCCTTAGGCAGGGACTGGTCTTTCCACCTTCCTACGCATGCCACCCCCTCAAATATATGTGTTCTAGCCCATGGGGCCTGAAGAGGGGAGCGGGAGAAAGCCCCCCACCAGAACGGCACGGCCTCACTGTGGCGGGGAGCGCAGCGCCTGGGAGCACGGCCGGTTGGAAAGGGACTTCAGGTGGAGGTCTGCAGGCTGGTGTTCTGCTTTAACAGCAAAGGGGCAGTGCAGAGACTAAAAGAACTCAGATACCAAAACACTTCACTCATAGACCAGTGTGTTTTTTGTGAATTACGTGACTTCCCTGTTTGGTGGGAGAAAGGTTGTGGTTCAGGGGGAAGTTGGGCAGGGTGGCACAGTGGCTCCTCACCCAACCTCCCTGTTCCCCGAGAGAAGGGGGACCTGATCCAGGGTGAAAGCTGGGTGGGTTACAGCAGTGGTTCTTGCTGTGCTCTGTGGACTGTGGGGTCCCTCTGGGGTTTCTCGCTTACTCCTGAAGTCTTCCCTGACATCGCTCCAGCTATGGAATTGGGCAGAGGACACCCATCTCCCTTGGCTGTTCAGCTTCACTCAGGCACCGACAGACGGCTTTGCCCATCACTGGCACTCACGGTCTGCTTCTCTGGAAGGTTCTCTGCAGTTCACAACTTCACAGCGATAAATAGGTTGTTTACGCTCCCAGTACTCCTCTGTTCATAGAACAAAGCTTTTCCCTTATGCTACAGAGCCACAGTTCGTGTGGTGACACTACTGCCACCCGGGCCCAGCCCCTGCCAGCTGCCACCGCTGGGGTGACCAGTCCCACCTGCTTTCAGCAAGACCCTGAGCTGGTGGTGTTTTCAGTGATCTGTGGTGTTGCCAAAATCTCTTTTCAAACTGATAGAGGTCAGTTTAAAAGTTCATTTTTGTTTGTTGATAGTTATTTTTCCCCTTTTGTATTTATTGACACTGAATTCCTGTATCTGAGGAACTCGAATAATTCTGTGTTGTTGCATGGTTTTTCACCTCACCATTTACCTATTTTGCTAGATTATTATAGATGTGTTGAGCCCAGCACAGAACCTTAATTTATTCCCTCTCTTTTGGTTCCTGGAACAAATGTGTTTTGCCTGGTGTTTTGCTGAGGCTGAATGGGTGGGGAAAAGCAGAGGGAGAGCGCGGGTCGGTAAGTGCTCAGACAAGGTGAACGTTGTGAGTTCGGGCCTGGTCCCTGACAGCTGGAGAACTCCATCCTCCTGCAGGTTTGTTTTCTCACATAACTTTTTACCTAACCTGTCTCTTGGGTGGAAGAAGGGTGAGTTTCACAGTGCTTCCTGCTGGACCCTTTACGCTTCTTGCTTTTATCCTCTGCAGAGCTGTAGGGAAGACCTGCTTGCTGATCAGTTACACCACGAATGCCTTTCCTGGAGAATACATTCCTACCGTGTGAGTAGTGGCCTTGTTGCTCTGTACGGATGTGTGTGTAAAAGCTGGTTTCGTAGATGAGGAGCAGGCTGTCCCAAATCAGATGATGAACTTCACATGTGAGGAGGATGCCAGCTGTGTGTGTGTGAGGAGGGCAGCCTGTCCTCACTGGAACTGTGTCACAGTGTCCTCTCCTGATTCACTGCCCCCTTGGATTTCATACAAAGAGATTGTCACTGATGCGGACTCTTCCTTGGCAGGTTTGATAACTATTCTGCCAATGTCATGGTAGATGGAAAGCCAGTGAACCTCGGCCTCTGGGATACAGCAGGGCAAGAGGATTATGACCGACTGCGGCCTCTTTCCTATCCGCAGACGGTGAGTGCTGGGCTTGGACTGGCTTGTAACTGCTTCCTCTTGGGGACAGGGAGGCTCCAAAGGACAGCTAGGCTTCTTTCCTACACGTTCCATTTTCCCATTCTCTCCCAGCGGCACAGCTCGCTGCTGGGCTGCACGAGTGGCATTTCCCTGTCTGCAGCAATTCCTGCATGGCCCCCCACCAGGGGTGAACCCCATAGCACTGCTACGGGATCTGTGGACACAGGCTCTTAACACACAGAGCCCAGTGTTGTAAAAGAAGGTGAAGTCTTACTCTCAAAAGTCCATTCCTTCCCTCTTTGAATTAGTTTAGCACCCTTAATGGGGAAGAATTTCTTACAGACACAGTCCTTGCTTGTGGGAGGAGGTTGTCCTCTGTAGGGCTCCCGCTCCGCCCTCCCTCCGTTAGCTCTATCTGTTTCTTTTTACAACGCTGACCCTCTTGTTTCTGCACAGGATGTTTTCTTGATCTGCTTCTCCCTTGTGAGTCCAGCCTCCTTTGAGAATGTTAGAGCCAAGGTAAGGTGTTCTCCTTCTGGGTGAAACAGTGGAAGGGAGGAACCAGTGAAGTCCCCTGCCCCACCCAGCACCGCACCTACAAGCCCAAAATTTCTAGCAGTCATGTTTCAGTAAGGGAAGGTCATAGTCTGCAGGTTTTAAGATGGGCCTACTTTTTATTTATGACTTCTTGGGCTAAGTTTTTTGCCCTTTTGAATCTGCATCTTGAAGAAAGGATGTCCCAGAAGCTAAAACACAGCTAAGGGAAGCACTGTGAATTCCATTATATGATTCCATGTCTCAGTGCCTTTGTTACTACATCAGCACCGATCTGTCTCCTTCTGCAGAGCACACTCAGAACTGTAGACAGAAATATCCTGTTCAGGTGTTGCCACCATGTCAGATAGCAGTAAAAACCTTCTTCCTGATAGCAAATGCATCCTCATGGCTGCATCCACTGCTGTAGGTACTTTTCTTATTGTGCCTCTCTGTTTCAGTGGTACCCTGAGGTCCGACACCATTGCCCAAATACACCTATCATCCTGGTGGGCACCAAGCTGGACTTGAGGGATGATAAGGACACCATTGAAAGGTTACGTGATAAGAAACTGGCCCCCATCACCTACCCCCAAGGTTTGGCAATGGCTCGGGAGATCGGTGAGTCTCGTGCTTGCAGGTCTCCATGATATTGAGCTTTTTATTTTGGAGTGGGTGAGGGACAGCACGTCCCGGTAGGACTGGAGTGGTTGAGCTGGAGCTCTCTTTCCCCTAGGGTCGGTAAAGTACCTCGAGTGCTCTGCCCTGACACAGCGGGGCTTGAAGACGGTGTTTGATGAAGCCATCCGGGCTGTGCTCTGCCCACCGCCTGTGAAGAAGCCCGGCAAAAAGTGCACCGTGTTTTGAGGGCTGTGGCCTAGGTGCTGGCTCAGCATGTTGTCATCCTCCGACAGATTGCATATTAGCTGGGTGTTTCCGGAGGGGGCTGGGATGCGTAGGGCCCTTCATCGTGTACGAAGTCAGTGTTTTTTAAATGTCTCTTTGATTTAACGTCAGTGTTGATGTGAAGGGGCAGTGGGGGCAGGAGACTAGCTGGGGGCTGTACAGCCCCCAGGGGAGGTACAACAGGGAAGGCAAGGTCGCTCCTTGGGGCAACAGGCTGTTTTGGCTCTCCTGAACTCCAAGCTGAAAGGGCCGAGACATCCATCCTGTCCTGGAAGCACCTGGTTTCAACCTGCAGGTGAAACCGGTGAAGATCCTTGTGGGAGTGGGGAGGGAGCTGATATGGATGGTGCTGAATAACAAGAGCAGCAGGGAGAGGGATAGGGTCTCTTTGCCCAGCCTACCGTGGCTAATAGTTAACTGGTGCTCTAGCAGGTACGTGCCTAAGACTGTTAAAAGAAATCAAAACCAGCCCCAGAAGGGGTCAAAGTAAATGAGATATGAAGCTGAAGAACTAATCATTAGGTGCTTTATTGGGTACTAGCCAAACTCAGTGAGTGAAACAGCTCTGTGCAATCGATGTATTTGCCTTTTTGTGTGTGCACACCCTAGGACAGCGTGGCGCTGCTCCCCCCCATCAGTCTTTAGCAGTGCCTCCCCCCCAGATCCAGTCTCTGCAGAGCAGGGCTGTGGTTGTTGCCTCTGTTTTGTTTTTTTCTACTAAAGACAGCAAAGGAAGCAATGAGGAGTCTGCTGACTTCTTCTTTCCCTTCCCACTGAAAGTGCAGGCGGGCTCTTTGGATGGAACAGGGAGAGCTGTGGGGGGGGGAATAGGATTGGAAGAAAGACAAGTCCAATTTCTAATCATCATGTAGAGTGACAAGATAAAACCTTATTTGGTGCAATAAACATTCTCCATGACGGCATATGTGAGCTTTATTATATAGCAGCTTTCTAAAGGTAATTTTCTGCCTCGCTTCTCATAGAAGTCCCAGCCCTCCTATCCCTCTTTCTCCAGGGTCTGTCATTGTTTTCTATCCAGTTTACATGTGTGCAGTACTAGTATGAAAATTAACGCCAGGTGTAAAAAGTAGGTGTCATCTTAGGAGACGAGAAATCCCCCATCAACCATCAGCGAGCTGCCAGTTGTCATAGCGCTTAGCAGGAAGAGAATGCTGTTCACCACGTCATCCACTTCTGTAACCAAACACAGAGAACATCCAATGCACCCCTCAAATTGTACTAGAAAAACAAGCATCCCAGAAGGTCTGTCTTTGACCTCTCCGTGTAGTTAGAACAGGGAAATATCTCCACCCCCAATCTGTGCTTGATGCAGTACACAGGACAGTGTGGCTGAGAGCTGGACATCAAAAAGTCCTTGTTGTGCTCAAATGATATGTAGTTTACAGCAAGCACCGACGTTCCCCCCCCCCCCAAGTCGTATTTGTGAAGAACAGAGTTAAGTGCATTTCACTTGTCCCAAGATGAGAAGGCTGCAGAAGAGGTGAGATAAGGTTTGATTCTTGCCCTGTCCTCATCATGCTTCAGGAAGTCAGCCACAGCCACGCAGCAGAGATGTGACTGCCCACAAAAGCAGCAAGGTGCCTGTGGCTGTGATGTCTGTGACAGGGAAGGCTTGGATACAGTAAAAGAGCCCAGCTGGGCAATGATCTACACCACTGACCTGCAAACTTTCCCAGCGGAATCCGATTAATCATGGCAGCAGATTTCTGAGGGTCACTCCAGTTAATTCTCCCCATGTCAGTCATAACCACTGTGGGGTTCACAGTGTTCACCCTAATCTGGGACCAAGAGCAAGAATCAATCTAACCAGACTGCTCTGAGAGGAAACACCTTGGGTTCAGCTTTCACACTTCCCTTTCTCTCAGAAAGAATCCTACCTTGTAGGGTCCCAGTTCCATTGCCATTACCTTGCTCAGCATATCCAAAGCACTTTTTGTGGAACCTTCAAGAGAAGAGAAAAACGGGAGGCATTTAAGGGCATAGCACTTGGTCTGGAACACGCAGAAACATTTCACTGCCTGGAATTGGCAGCCAGCAGCTTGTTGGCTGTGGGTCCCCAGCTAGGCAAAAATGCGAGAGGCACTGCTAAAGCTGTGCATACTTACAGTAAACAGCGTGATCCCGCAGAGCACGCTGAGATGCCTGGCTGGAGACATTCACAATAGCACCTGGCACCCCCTGTGCAATCATCTGCCGAGCAACAATCTGGGGGAGGGAAGGGAAAAAAAAAAAAGACGATGTCAGAATCGTAACAGGAGAAATCATTATTTAATTCAGTAGGAATCTTGCTGGGCTATTACGGTAGCCCAAAGAGCAAAACATCTGGAGGAAGTAAGTTCTCACTGCCTCCCACTTGCAAGAGAGAGAATCAAAGCAGGAGAGTGAAGGGGCTGTACACAGATCATCAGGTTCACTTTGGATTACAGCCCCTGCAGCCTCCCCAGTGGACATTTTTCTCTGCTCTGCAGGAGAATGTAGTCACTGCTGTTCATGGAGACAACTACTGTGACAATTCTTCCTCACCTGGGAAACATGAAGCACAGCCCCAAGATTTACATCAAAAGACCTACAAAAAACATCAAAATTAAAAGTTACGGAGTGGTTGCAGCCCAGGCCAGAGAGAAGATGTTTTGGGTGACAGCAGAGGGCAAGTGCTGCTGGTATCTTGGGAACACTGGGGGTGCTCTAGGACACGGCTAGAGATGCCAGCCTGACTGGTTTTAATGACTAGCCACGCTTTCAGCAATTGGATGTAAGCTAAGGGGGGGAGCACTCCTGCATCATCACATTTCCAGCAGGACTCTGATCTTTAGCAGACTAGTGTAGTTCCTCTGTTAAAGTTTAAACGGTGAGCCCTGTGCCTCAGCCAGTGACTCTTCTTAGGTCAATCAAACCCTTCACAAGGTTTTAAAATAGCAAATAAATCTGCTGTGAGATGGGTGGAAGCAACTTTTCTTCTATTTGCCACATAGTCCTTCCTTGGTCAGGTTTTCCCCTGCCACTTCTGCAGCATGGTCTCAGTAGGCTCTATACGTTTTATATTCCAGTCACAAATGATCTG